CCAGGGATGTAGGTGTCAGGCCATTTTTCTGTGTTCAGTTTTAATTTTTCAGTAGGCATACCCTCGATTCAATCTGATTGTGTGAAACCTTACCAAGCTGCCAAACGTGCCTGGAAGGCTTTTTCAGTGTAGGGAAAAATTGTATTCATCATTACCTCCTAGATTTATATGACTTTAGTTTTACCCCTTTTACCTCAACTATTATAATTTAGTATATCAGGTAGTTAGTTATCAAACATGAGTTTCATTTGTAGGCTTTTTGTCTCCAAATACAATTATTAGTTAGCAATAAGCATTGACATCATCAATATTCAATACAAAAAAATACAACATAAGGAATGTATGAATAACAGATTCATCATGAACATAAATTAAGCCTGGTATATGACTGTTGTGTTGTAGGTGGAGGCTTTCCTACAAGAGCTTGAAAAGGAGGGTGTTACATTGAGTGAACCTGAGGAATACGAACATCCCAGACCCACACAGCTGGTCAAGCCTGAGAAGCCATGGGAAGTTTATTAGTTTCTGTTTTTGTAAGTTAAATTTATAGTTAAATAAAGTAAATTGTTTTGTAAGGGAATTTTAAAATTATCCCTTTCCTGAGTCAGATCCCTGCCTCCTCAATGTAACCAGTCACAACCGCGAAGATGGGAGTTATCTTACCAATCGTTTACAAAGTCTAGACAACCCCCAAACCTAAACCTTGGATCCCCCAAACCCATCGAAGTATATAACACAACTGGAACACCGGTTAGATAGGAGATGTGGGATAAAAAGCGCGCCGTTTCGGTAACCTTCCTCCACCACTATGGGGGACCCAACGCAGATATGTCAGTTCCTCAAGCCGTGCACGCGGTTGTTAATACGCTCCTGACCGTGCATACAAAAGGTTGACTGCAATTAAAGTTATATATTCGGAATCTGCATTAACTGCAGAATATGACAGTATAAATATAATCTTATTTAAATCGTAATTCGAATTTTAACAACTAAAAATGTTAAACAAATATCACACCTTGACATGAAAAAGTTACTAAGCGAGGATTTTTTTTATTTTTTGGTCAGAAGCAAACTTCAAGCGAGAAAATTGTAGCTAATGAGATGTTCTTCAGCATATAACCAAGCAATTTCAAATAAAATTTTCTAGTCGTGTGTAATGGAGTAATTAGTAACGCAAAGAGGTTATTTATAAATTGCGCCGCGGGCCGTTCTCATCTGGTTCCGCTGATCTTTACGTTTACGGTACTCCCAGAAACGTTTTGAGTACAACCAATAGTTATATTAAATTCATTTTTAACACATAGGTAACACATAACTAAATACTGAATTATCACCTTCTAGGTAAACTATTTACATACAATGTTGCCGTAAATTAAAACATAAAATGTAGACTATAGATACAGGGACAGGGACTGGTAATCCCCCTTTGTTTAAATGTAACAAGGGATCGTGTATTATCTGCTTTGTTTGGTAATTAATGAGAAATTTCAAATATTAAGATCAAATAATTGATAAGGTCATAAATACTAAACCTAGGAAGTATTTTTCAATAACAAAAATTGAATGATAAATTTACAAATCGAATTGTTAGTCGTGTTCCTTTGACAATATGAGTATTTGTATCATGAAACAACTTACTAACTAGTGAAACAACTAACTTAGTGGGGTCGTATAGCTGCATATAGTGGCAGAATATTTCAGTTCTGGCAGACAGGCTGCAATTTTAGGTGGTCATAGTATGCAAGTTTCTGAACCTAAAACCGCCCAGACCCCAATTTTTAAGGACCTCGGTCGTCCGTAATGACGTCATCAAAATGGCGGCCGTAAGAGGATGCTGGGTCCCCATGAATTGACTATAACGACCGAATGCCTGAACCGATTTTCATGAAATTTGGCACACAAGTGCTTGAATACATTATCTCGGCCTGGGTTGAAAATGGTCAAGTTTCATCAAGTAATTTCAAAATGGCGGCTATTCAAAACTAAAAAAAATTATGAGGAAAATAATTGTGAATTGTTTTATACAGGGTGAGTTTTAAAAGAGTTCCCCCCCCAAATTTTTATACATTTCTTAAGATATCAACTTTGAACCATGTCAGATCATTGTAGAGTACTTTATTTTGACTGGGTTTACATTTTTGGCCGCCATCTTGGATCCGCCATTTTGGATACAAAAATATTTTTTCAAATGTAAAGATAGGGTTGTGACCCACCGTTTCAAACAAAACCTTTACGCTGAATACAATGCTGCAATCCGTTAAAAAAAATGTTGATCCATTCTAAAGTTATGAGAACTTTTAATAACTTTATTTTTAGTCCATTATAACATTGTGCATTTACAAACTAAGGCCATAATCTCAAAATAGTGCTAGATAAAGATAAGTGGACACCACCATTTATTGTTGACCTATTTTCACTCGGTTATGACGGATGTATTTTTTTCAGCCGCCATATTGGATCCGCCATTTTGAAATGTGATAAATTATTTTAAATATGAAGGGGGTGTTGTGACCCTTTTGACCCATCATTTTGAACTACTTTTTTATGTTGAATTTAATGCCGCAATCCGTTTTTCATTGTCATGTTTGGTTTTTGAAATATTGACATTTTAAATCAAAATAATTGTTATATTTTATCAAGAAAGCTTGATAACAAAAAACGGATAAAAAAAAACTAGTCGAAATGAAGTAATCGCTACTCTACAATTATCTGACGTGGTTCGGAGTTGATATCTTAAGAAATGTATAAAAAAGTAGGGAGGGGAACTCATTTAAAACTCACCCTGTATAAAACAATTCACAATTATTTTCCTCATAATTTTTTTAGTTTTGAATGGACGCCATTTTGAAATGACTTGATGAAACTTGACCATTTTCAACCCAGGCCGAGATAATGTATTCAAGCACTTGTGTGCCAAATTTCATGAAAATCGGTTCAGGCATTCGGTCGTTATAGCCAATTCATGGGGACCCAGCATACTCTTACGGCCGCCATTTTGATGACGTCATTACGGACGACCGAGGTCCTTAAAAATTGGGGTCTGGGCGGTTTTAGGTTCAGGAACTTGTATACTATAACCACCTAAAATTGCAGCCTGTCTGCCAGAACTGAAATATTTTCCTGCTACCCAACCTGACTAAATGTTTTAAACACACGATTAGTAAAACGTGTTTTGAGTGTCATTGTTATTCTGTATATGTTTTAAAATTCATATCATCTCACATAAGAGAAAAGGGTTTGGTTAATAATACTAAACAGTACTTTTAAGAATATGTTTTACTGCCCACAATCGTGCTTAAATATTGTACAAAGGTTGCATTACATGTTGTGAAACAAAACCAATTTCTTCAATCTCTGCCTTACACCTAACTTATTTTTGTTACATTCATTCATAATGTCCCTAGCATTGGAGACACAATTGGTTTTGTAAAACAGTGTCCCTAACAGTTTCATTCATGGGCGGCAGCCCGGTACCGGTATTGATATTTATCTTCTGCAAATAAATGAAATATATGATAACATCAATAGAATAGTTAGTTGTATTCTTTAACTTATATCAACTATTAAAAAAGGTTAAAATTTATTTAGCTTTACAATGATCGAGTAGCACAAACACAAAGAGTTGCTGGACTGAGGAGGTTGGTGCGACATAAAATCAACCTCGTCACGCTATTAATCACTATACTACAAACTTAATAGTAAATTGCTCAATCACATGTTAAAAATCATCTCTTAAACTACAACTTTGTCGCTTACAGTTTTCATCTGACCCAAAAATAAAATACTTCCTCGCATACAAACTTTTTCATGTCGCAATGTAAAAATTGTTAACCCTCTAACTATGGAAATTCTATTTTAAATCAAAAGTAAAATTTATTTATACCATAAGATTCTGCATTTAATGCAGATTACGAATATATAAACATTATTGTACTTAATCTTTGTTATTGAATGCTAGGAGCGAGTTAACAACTTCGCGCACTATTCGATGAATTGGCTAAAATCCGCTGGGTCCCCCATGTTGGTGCGGGAAGGCTGCCACAATGGCGCGCTTTCGTGAACACGTACCTAGCATTCCAGTTGTGTTATATACTTCGATGCCCAAACCTTTCATCCAACCAACTCCACTTCAACATCCAACCCAACAAGTAAGCTTACATGTTTCAACAGGCCTATTTTTTGTCCTGGATTCGAATTACAGAGGCTTGCGGTAACACAGTTTGAATTGTAGAGGTTGACTTTAAATTTTGGAGGCAACAGTTCGAATTACGGCAACCAAATTCAAACTGTAGAGGCTTGAGTATGTGGAAATTTGAATTGTAGAGGCTGCATTAAGCGTAAAAATCACTTTGAATTATCGGTATACAGTATTATTTTTGAGGTTTTCTGAGGTGAAAAGACGAACATTACTAATTATAGAGGTTCAAATTAGCGAGTTTCTACTATAAGATCAACTGAACCTGTGTTTTATTTCAATTTATACTATTGGCAACACTGTCAACAACTCACTGGCCACCATATTAGTCCTAAAGAAAACTCTCTCTTCGTTAGTTGAAAATGCTGTAAGTGAAAGTGAATATCCTAATTTTTTTGTGTTTGTGTATAGTGTAAAGTTTTGTTTTTCCTGTGCCAGTTTGGCCTTTTTCCCATTCAGGCCAGCCTGCTATTGGAAAAAAATCCTAAAAACCTAGGCCCTTGTGCTCTACGTTACATTCTTTGCCGAGTAGGTACTTAATATATAAACTTTGAGATCATTCAAATTTGACAGGGAGTGCCAGTGTGAAAGTTACATTGTTTTGCAAAAGGTTGAGTAGGCCTAAGTATTGTGGAGTTTGTGTGTGGGAAGGCCTTATGAGGTTGCTTTGAAACATTTGTGTATGCATTCCTAGAGTAAATTGGTAAAAGGCCAAATTAAATGGATTTAACTAATTTTACCCAGTAATTTGTGACTATTTTAACAAAGTATATATATTTTTAATACTATCCACTAGATGGTTTACCTTTGTTGGTAATAAGTTTGAGCTTTGAAGAAATGCAAGACTCCATACAAGTTGAGTTCTGAAACAAGTAAAACATTGTTATAAGCAACGGTATCAGCAACCCACGACCAAGTCGTGGTAGTTATGATACTTTTGTGGGGAAACCATACAAAAGTTGCAATAACTTTAGAACTGTGATTTTTACAACATTGGTGGTTGTATCATTTCATTTTAGACTTAAATGGACTATAGCATACTTAATTTCAATCAAAATAGTGTGAGATTTTTTTATGAAAATCTTATTTTCCTGTTATTTTATGGGAAAATCACCACTAAAAATCAACATTTTAAAAAATATAAAATAAAACCTGGAGATATTACAGGTCCCTAGAAAGACACATCACTTGGAAATCTACTTTTGGGTCTAGTGGGACTCAAAACTAATATCTCCACCCAGCATTCTAAATTCATACATTTTTACAAAAACAATACTTTCTCCATAGGGCCTAACTATGTATTGGAGGAGAGAGTAAAAATTGCATATTGTTTATTGCAACAATAAAACTAAATTTGTTTTTTAAATCTCTAAGAAATGGTTTGGAATGGTCAAAATCGGTTTAAACCAATGTTTACCCCATGAAAGCCCCCATAAACCATTCTTCCTATAGTAAACGTTGATTTAAGTCAGCCAAATTCCAATATTAGTGCTCTAAAAATTCTCGCAAAATAAATTAAACTTAAAACTTACAATTTCAAAACTAAGATGTTTAGAGAGAGAGAGAGAGAATCTTTATTACATAAGCGTAGAGCTTAGAAATGGTGTCAACAAACAAAAACAAATCTGGAAATATACATAAATGTTACAAAAAAAATTGATTTCATCAGTCTTTTTCACAGAGGGTGTAGAACTCTTCCATGGTGTAGATGGGATTATCTATCAGCCAGGTAAGTAGTCTTTCTTTCAATGTCTTTGCATTGCCGGTCTTGATTGTTGTCGGAAGAAGATTGTAGAGCCTGGCTCCTGCGTATGATGGCTTCTTCGCTTATCTGGCAGTTCTGTGTGGGGGCAAGTTGAAATTTGCAGCGTTCCTTGTGTAATGCAAGTAGTGTATATTTGCATTTCTAGGAGTGCCTTGGTTGAGGGCAAAATGTACGACCTCAGAGATGTATATGGCGATTAGAGTTGGAATTTTCAGCATTCTGAAGACATTCCTGCAGCTATCGTCTTGCTGGAGGCCACCAAGAATTCTTACGGCACGCTTTTGCAATTTCAGGACACGCTGGACATTCTGCTTGGAAGATTTCCCCCAAAGCACTATTCCATACCTGAAAAGCGTCTCAGAAAGTGCATGGTAAGCTACACGTGCTGTGGCTGGAGAGGTAACTTTGTGGAGACTTCTGAATGCAAATAGCGATGAGCTGAGCCGCTGGCAAATGGAATTGATGTGGGCATTCCAACAAAGTTCGTTATCTAGAATGGGTCTAAAATGTTTGGTGGTGTCCGCCACTTGGATAGTTGGACGACTTGAAACGGCATCTTTGAATTTTCCAAAGAAGAGTTGCTGAGTTTTACTCTCGTTGAAGACTAAGTCGTTATTTGCGCAGTAATCCATAACTTGATTGATTGCGATGAAGTTGTCAACTTCCAGACACTCAGGATGCTCCCTGCTGGCCAAGAGAACAAGTCATCTGCAAACATGACTGTACTGTGTGGCAGTGGGGCTCCATAAATGAAGGTAGATCGGCAGCAAATAGGGCGAAAATAAGGGGGCACAATACGGAACCCTTCGGGACGCCTCTTACTACATTTAGCAGCTCTGACCTGACAGAATTTTCTCTACCTTTTGTGGTCTGCTTGATCTCCACCAGCTGTTGTCTTCCACAAAGGTCGGATTTAAACCAGGCTTGTGGGGCTTTGCAAATGCCAAATGTCTGGAGCTTCTTCAAGATGAGCTGGTGGTCCAGGCAGTCGAACGCTTTGCTTAGATCTAAGAAGGCGCCTCCAACAGTGTCGCCATCCTCCAAATAATCAATGATATGTTCAACAATTTCTGTAACTGCTGTGATGGTAGATCTGCCCGTCAAAAAGCCCCTTTGGAAGGAGGTTGTTGGATTTCAGGTGATCCATAAGCCGTGTTAAGACAACCTTCTCCAATAACTTTGAAAATGCAGGGACCAAAGATATTGGCCTAAAGTTGCCCATGTCATCCTTGGAGCCTTCCTTGTGGAGGGGGTACACTTTGGCAATTTTCATTTTGGATGGGACAGATGCCTGAGAGAGGGATTTGTTGAAAATAACGGTAAGAGGAGAACAGAGTTCCTCCGCACAGAACTTCAAAAGAAGACATGTGGACTTGCCAACCCTGGAAAATAAGCAGAAGCGAGTGAGCTGGTCCTAACACTCAGATAACTTGAATGATTTTCTTGTAGATTTCATTTGATTTATACAACGACAACACCAGGTTACATATTTTATGGGTGAAAGATGGTTAGCGTTGAACATATACCCAGTTAAATTTATGTGAAGATAGCTTTGTTACTAACTAAAATAATCAGCTGTTTCTTTAGCCAGGACAATTCATTACAAGATAGGTTCAAGACAGATAAGTCGAGTTTCAATCCGTTACTTTACTTTTCATACTTTTACTTTATAATGAAATGGCGACCATACAAAGTAGGTATTTTAAGCCACGTATGAATGGATATGAGTGTAGGATGAGTGGCGCGATCTTATAATCTTGTTAGTGACTAAGGCCGACATATTCCTTAGACACAGCTGTTAATTAATAGCCCATACAGCTAATGGCAACTAAAGGACCTACAGTTTATAACCACATTTTTGCCTTTGGTATATACGAATTGGTATAATTATCAGGATAAGCATTAAAAATCGTATGACAAAATTCTGGATTATGGCAAGTTCCTTATTATTTAAGTGATCTTGTTGTGTCAATGGCTCGGTTGGTATCATGAAAATCAGACTTAGATTGTTAAGCACCATACTCAAGCTCAATTTGGTATAACTGAATTTTCATTTATGACTTTTAATGTGAATCAAATAAATTGCACTACAAAGTACACGATGGCATAATCTTCATAGTCTGATCAAGCTACGTTTTCGATCCCTGATTAGAATACAATTTTGATGTTTTAACATATGTTTAGTTAACTATAAATTACATTCCTGAACAAGAGATGGGAAGTCTAGTATCAATTTGAATAACACTCTAAACAAGTTATACTTTAAAAGCTACTCCCCCTTAAACTACTAACTTATTTTGGGCAACTGCTTCTAACCCACGCTGAGGAATTCCTGCTAATCAATTATTCTGGCCTCTCAATTAATTACATTTCAACATTATTCTTGGAATATATAATTGAGATAGTCCGGTTCAATAGCCATAACATTCAGTTTGTGAAACTAAAAATTTATTTAACTATACCCCCGCCACAGCAAACCTGCAGACTAAGCAAATTTCCATTTGCCTAATTGGATATATACACTAAAAAGTCTCCTTAAAAATTTCACATTTATTATCTGTTTAGATAGCATTAGTTTGACGAGTACTCTAGGTTTGCTGCAACGGGGAGGGTAAATAAGTTTTTTTTTTTGTAAAATGTAATAGTTTAGTACGAAATAAATGCATTTTTGTGATCAAAATATGCTCATAAACAAGCAAACAGTTGACTTATTCTCCATAAGAATAACATAGGAATTTTAAATTTACATTTTTTTGTAATTTTCTCCGTAACCATTAGGTGCATAATAACCCTTCAATATACTAAATTATTTGTTTTTTTAAGCTCTACAAAATAGTTTGGAAAGAAATTGCTAAATTTTATGTTTTTTTTGGCCAAAAATTAGCAAAATCAATTTTTACCTTATAAAACCCCGTTCCCAAGGTTCGATCATGCTGGTTCGCGAACTCGTATGAATAAATGTATGTTTACACGTTTATACCAAATTTCATCAAATTCGGATCATTTTTGCTCGAGTTATCGTGCTAACGGACACACACATATATATATCTAATATATAAAATTCTCGTGTCACAGTGTTTGTCTGCAAACTCCTCCGGAACGACTTCACCGATCGTTATGAAATTTGGTGTGTAAATTCTGTAGGTATGCGAATAGAAAGTAAACTATTTCCCGTTTCGAAATTCTTAAAAGGGCTCCGCCCCAGTGGCTCTGGAGTTTCCCATGTTAACCTTATGAGAAATGGAATTAATGAATCTTAACAGCTGTTTCAATTAAACAAGTTGGTTCTGTTCTATGATGTTCAATAGCATTAAAGTTACAAGGATTACCAACAGGGTGCAGCACTATTATTTCTTTTACATTTATGACAACAGCTAATTTGCAACCAAAAGGTGAGTGAGCGTAGCGAACGAACTTCAACCTGGAGGCGAGTTAGCGTAGCGAACGAGCTAACCTGAAGGCAAGTGAGCGCAGCGATCGAGCTCCAACCTAAAGGTGAATGAGCATAGCGAACGAGCTCCAACCCAAAGGTGAGTGAGCGTAGCGAACGAACTTCAACCTGGAGGCGAGTTAGCGTAGCGAACGAGCTAACCTGAAGGCAAGTGAGCGCAGCGAACGAGCTCCAACCTAAAGGTGAGTGAGCGTAGCGAACGAGCTCCAACCCAAAGGTGAGTGAGCGTAGCGAACGAACTTCAACCAGGACGTGATTGAGCGATGCGAACGAGATCATCTTGAAAATTAAACTTAACGGTACTTTCTTTCCATCGGTCTGTCTTAGGGGAAACCTATAACTTTGGCGATACGAAGTTCGCCGGGTCAGCTAGTATATATATATAAATATTATGAAAACTGTAGTGATTAGGGCTACTATTTTGATATACAAATGCATTATTAAAAATTAAGTACCCTTTTTTTGAAACTCATTTTATTATTAATTCTATTCATTCGCCTATTGTGTCTGATTATAATTGGAGTGTCCAATCAAAATTGATCACCACTTACCATCTTTTTTGTATATTTACCGTGTTATGAGAAACAGTATAAGCGTAAATATATGTTTTAAGTGTTTTATTTACTTTCCGTAAATGTAATAACACG